ACACAGCATGGCTCTGACTCTGAAGATGCTGGTAGATAACTTCCACAATTAAGAAAATGGACAAGGGATGACCAAATGTCACGCTCTGTGATGCTGCTGATCCCTACCCACGTCTGGAACCGGGAAGACATTTCCTTCCAGGGCACAGCGCAGCCTCGCAGAGCGCAGGGGGAAGTTGGGTTTCCGCTGCAGCATCGACGACCGGCAAAAACCAGAAGTCGACGTAGACCCCGACCAGACAGCAGTGGTCTGCTCCCTCCTGCCATGTCACGCCATGAAGCACCATGGCCAGGCCTCTGCCGGACCCGTTACGGCACAACCGAAAGAGACAGCATGGCATGGTGTGGCACAGAGACAGCATGGCATGGTGTGGCACAGAGACAGCACGGCACGGTGTGGCACAGAACGTCCCCAACCTGCCACCCCTCCAAAACCATCCCGCACCCGTCAACACACGTCCCCTTTCGCCGCTGACAGCAACACCCAGGACGTACTAAGACTTCTCTCATGTTGCAAGGTTAGCTTGAACTGGTTACTCCACCCAGACCTCCTTGCCAATTTTCTCCTTTGTCATCAGAGACCATATTTAATCCAGCAGGAATGCACCTTGGTTCGAGCCCGTGTACTCAGGGACCCAAGGCCAACGCGTGTCCCTTGAGCTTCGGCGCTTGCAGGGGTTCATTTTTGCACCCCCATCACCAGCACCATTGCTCAGCCTCAAGCTTTCTCAACATGATGGTCCCAGGTCCACCACGTGAGGTCTACGTGCTGGGACCACCACCGAGCAGCACTGACAGCCACCAGGTACCAGGAATTTCTTCATGCTGAGAAGAAATGAGCCACCATCCACCGAGGAGGTCACCCAACGACCCTCAGACACTGCTGCAAAACCCACCTTCCCTCCAGCAGGGCTGGGTCTGAACCGCTCCTAGGCCTCCCTCTTCTCCTCAACCTGCTGGAAACCTCCGAGCACGGCATATGGGGCTGGGAAGGCCAACCAACCTCATGTTAATGGAAGCTGCTTGTTTTGCTGCTGAAACAAACTCTTTAAAAGCCAAGCCCAAGTGTGCCCACACGCCTGGTGCCACAGCCCTCTGACGGGTTTGCTCCCACATAGCTCCCTTGTTGCCGTACGGCAACTGAGCGGCTCCCTGAAAAACCACAGCGGGGTTTTCGGGAGATCCTGCAAAATACCAAGCCCCTAGTTCTCCTAAATACTTTAGAAAGCCTCAGAAGTTACACACGAAGGGGAAAAAAAACCAAAAAAACCCCAAAACACAACACAAAAAAACACAAAACATGAAATTCTGCATTTCAATCCCGGCTAAAGGACCAGCCCTTGCCCAGGAGCTCAGTGTGTACGGAAGGTTTCTTTTTCAACGCCCCAAGAGCCTGGAGGCCCCAAGATTCATGTGGAAATAAGCTGCCGACGTTTCAGAAAGGCAACATTCGACCCCATCCTCAAAGGGAGCAACTGAAGACTCCTCATGAAGAAACAAAGCCGTCGCCAGCTTTAACCCACCACTGGGTGAAGCCCGAGGGCTGAGCGGGGGCTGCGGGGCCACCGGCACTTCCCAGCCTCTCAAGGCTGGATGAAAACGAGAGCTTTAGAGGGTAGTATTTTTATACCTTCTTCCCCTTCAGAGACCAGGTAAGACCACAGACCAGCAAGAGGCTAAATCCTGCACACCCTACTCTGGCCAAAAATCTCCCCAAAGTCACCACCAGTGTTTTCTCCAAGGAAGGCCGACAGCATCTACCCACTTTGCACCACGTTCTCCCTCCCGTCGAAGCTTCTGTCCATCTCCTGAACCAAGAGAACCATAAGAACTGCTCAAAACCCACATCCCCCCATTCCCACAGCATCCATCCATTTCCCGAACTGCTCCCAAGCCCCAAAATCAACCTGTCCCTCTCCCACCCCGCTGTCATGTCACAGGTTCCCCTTCGCAGCCTCCGCATCCTTCTCCTCCAAAAAAACAGACTATTCCTGCCCCATTCCACGGCAAAGCTCTAGCATTAATCTCATTTCCTCAAAACAGCACCTCGAAGACCAGTTGTCTCCTCCTCACCAGGAAGGGGGGGGGGGGGGAAATAAAGAATAAGATTGGAGTTTAGTGACAAAGCGGAGTGTATCGGGCAGGGCAGTCCCTTAGGTAATCCCTAGTTTGGGGATAAAGAACTCATCTCACCGTTCTTGACTCCCCGTGACGTGCAAGAAGTGAATCCTGAGAGCAAGCATGCCACGTGCTTCATCCCCGGCAACGCCGTCCTGCCATGAAGCTCTTCCTCCCTCCTGGGTGCAGGAGCGGGCAGCGCGGGGATGAAGGGAGGGAACGCTGAACTGGTACCGCGTGTACTCTGCCTGTTGGGGCAAGAGGCTCCCAGTAACTAGAGAGCAGCAACCTGTAGCTACAAGCCCTGCGCTGGGTAGGTGCTCGAGCAAACAAACAAAAAAAAAAAAAAGAAAAAAGAAAAAAATACCCCCAAAAAACCCAAGAAACCAACAAAAAAAAAAAAAAAAAAAAAAAAAAAAAAGAAATCTACTTACTAGTTTCCAGTTTGCCGGTGGGAAAGAAGTAGGTGCACGAACCAGGAAGGAAATAGGGAGCCCAGCTGCAGTTTAACAGCAGGCAAGAGGGAGTTAAAACACAGGGCTGGGATGCTTGGGAGCATCCTCTGCTGTGGGGAAGGAAAAAAAAAAAAAAAAGCAGGGCAGCAGCCCCTTCCCGCAGCAGTGAGCAGATCTCAGATGGGCATTGCCGAACCGCAGGGGGGGAAAGGAGGAGGAAAACCCTCCTGAAGGTGCTAAACCCTTCCCAGGCAAAGAAAGCACCCAGCAAGTGCCAGCGCTGCGTGTTCCTGCCCCTGCCCCGGCTTGGAAGAGCCCGGTGAGAAGAGTTTGAGGCAGGGAGGCTGTCCTCAAGGAGATCCCACTCCCTCCAGCCTGGCCCTACGCATTTTTTTAAGGGGTCGGCGAAGCGACGGCGTCGGAAAGCGTCGGATTGCCAGGGGATCTGCGGCTCAGCTCACCGCCGTGGCCTTGGCTCCCACCTGCAGCCACGGGGCAGCTCACACCAGTTTCCAGTTTCTCGCACCTTGTCACCTTTAGAGAGGCCGTGGAGCCTTAGAGTTTCCTTCCACCTGCAGCCCGGGATCTCGCAGGAAAATTTACAAGTCCCCTCAGGCAGTTGGGTCTCCAAAAGGGGAGCAGGATCCCCACTGTGATTCGAGGCACAGAAGGGCTTTTTTTGCTCTGTTTGAGCAGCATCCGGACTCTGCTCCAGGAGCCGGCGCTGACACCGGGGAGACGGGGAAAACTGAAACTATGCACGGAAGGAAAACGATACGGGCAGGGAGCTGGGTGAGAAACAATTGTCCCTGGATACTCGCAGAGGATCCTGATGCTCGTCTGACCTCGTTTGCTCCCGCTCCGACGTCCCACCGGAGCTCGGAGATGCTCCCGGAGCAGGTACGGGGACAGACACACAGCTCACACCAATCAGGCATCAAACACAACCCCTTTGGATCAAAGGGTCACAGGACTGGGTACAAACGCTCCTCTCCGTCCTAAAGACTGTCTGTCTTTCTCCCTTTCCCCGAGTTCTGCTTGTCAAAAGGCTTTTAATTACAGCTTGAAAACCAGTCTCTTCAAATCTGAGGTTAAAGGCTGGTTGAGAGCAACTGTTTATTGCTTTGACTATGCAAGATAACGAGTAGGATTCTAATTGTTTGCCACAGAAGCCTTCTCTTTCAATAAAGGCAGCATCCTGAGACTGGGAAAAAACCCTCAAGTGTCAGTTTTAATCAAGATTAAACCACAGTTCTGAAGCATTTAGGCTCCCTCTCAAACGCAGACCTGGAATTTCACAGGTCCCTCCTCCCCCCCCCTCTCAATTTTAGGGTTCGACTCGATCCTGCAGAGTTAAAAACCCAGCACTCGGGCAGCACTTTATCCACCAAAAGAGGTCTGGAGTAACACAGGCAGTGCAAGCAAAGCATCGTGGCGCCGGAATGAAAGCAGAAATTCCTTCCCCCATTTGCGTCCCATGCCGACATCCAGATTCTCACGCCGGGAAAACAACCGTCATTTCCAATTCAGCTTTCAAAAAAAGTTCACAAAACCACAAAAGCAAACCCACCGCATTCACCGTGTCAAATTAATTCCACCCAGCCACGGCCGGCCCCGCACCTCCACAAAAGCAGAGCTCCTTGGTCAACCCACGACAGGGCTAAAAAGATCATCCTCAGACCCACTACCACAACGCAACGAGATGCATATACGAGCAAAAAACCAAATTAAATTAAAAAAAAAAAAAAAAAAAGGCATAAGGAGAGTTGCAGATCAGCAGAAAAGGAAGAACTACTTTCATTCACCACCAAATTTATTAAGAGCTCACGCCTTGCAAAACCCTCCCCTAAGTTACTAACGCAATTAAGGCTCGGTGGAAAAATCCCACCATCTCACCCATGTTTGGGTTGCGCCTCTTCACTCCCTCTTTCACCAGAACAAGCCTAAACAGGGGCCAGAATGAATATTAAACAAGAACGGCTCCTCTCTAATAAAGTGCTCAGTTTCTCTGTCTCTCTTTTATCTTTTTTTTTTTAAAGTCGTTTAAATCCCAACATCTCCAGCAAACCATCAGAATGAAGTCAGACCGTCTCTTCCTGATCAGCCTCCAGAAGTGCCCACATGCTGCAATTTTCAACCAGAACCGGCAGAAACATTCAGAAATAACACGTTTCCTTAAAAAAAAAAATAAAATCCAACCAAAACTCCCAACGCTTTTTAAAATGACGAGATGACCTTTTAGCTCCGCTGCTGCTGCGCTGTGCACAACTCCAACCCTCATTAGGTTGTAAATTCTTCCAGGCAGAGACCTACTCTCCCTGTTGCCTACAAAGTGCTTCTTATATAAGTTATGGTTTCGATAGGCAAGACAATTAACAGCACGGGGAACCTGGCTGATCTTGAACTGGGACCAGCAGCAAACTCTTACCAAGAGTCCTTGAGCAGAGAGAAACTTTTGCTGCCAGGCCTCCTGCTGCCCTGCGAGTACGAGGGTCTCCAGGAGCTGAGGAGGAGGAGGAGGAAGGAGCGGTCACATCGGTTGCCGGTGCACGACAGGAACTCTTGTTTTCAACACAGAAAGGCCGGGATTTAAAAGTTCTGGTCAGAGGAAGCCCCGGGTGCCGGGAGTCCCGCTCCACACGCAGGTCTGAGGGCTCTTCCCACACAACTGGAGGCACGAAGCCCTCTCCCCGGGCAGCAACCAGCTCGCCTCCATTTTCAGACCATGGTCACAGGACAATCTGCCCGTGACTTTGCCTCCTGCCATCAATAGTGCTGCTGGAGACGCCGGCGGTATCTTGGGGGGACTCAGCCCTGGGCACCCCCGAGGTTCGATTTCCCACCCCACTGCCTCAAACTCCTCAACCTCTCAAGGGAAGAGGGTGAAGATGAAGGAAGTGTCCCCCACCTTGGCCTTGCCCAGGGGATGCTGCCCCTCACGCCAACCTCGGCCTTGCCCGCTGGTCCTGCGCCAGGCGGGGGGAGAGCAGCTTATCCTGCCCGGGCCCGGCCCCGACGGCTTTCAGGGCCCCAACCACCGAGAGAGGGGGGGGAAGAAGGGGGGGGGATTATCACTGCCAACCGCCGCCGGCAGCCCGACCCCCCCCCGCTCCCAGGGGGTGGGTGCGGAGCCGGCCGGGGGGAGATAAGGAAGGGGTGAGGGAAAAAAAAAAAAATCTATATATAATAAATAACCCCCACAGAGGGAAGGCCAGGGCTGGCAGGCCCGGGGGGAGGCCGGAGGGCCCGGGCAGGCCGAGGGAAGGCCGGCTCCCCGCGGGGACGACCTTGGGGTGCTCGGGGACGAGCATGGGGAGCCCCAGCCGGGCCTGAAGCGGCCCTACCCGGCGCCCCCGCACCGGCCGGGCTGACGGGCCGCAGGCCCCGGGGGACCCCACCCAGCGGCCGGGCCCCCCCCC